GGCTCCAGTATCATAAATACATACATAAAAGGATGAGTGACAAGGAGTCAGAAGTTGTCTCAACTTCTCCACCTGCTGGGCTTACAACTTCAATTTCTTCTTTTTTTTTTTTTTTTTGTGGTACGGGAATTGAACCCAGGACCCTGCCCTTGGCAGGCAGGTGCGGTCCCAATGAGCTAAATCCCCAGCCCAACAACTTCAATTTTGACTTGCAAAAATTGACAAAGCAATCTGCACTTTTAATAATCTAACAAAAAATACTAGTAATACTGGTAATACTTTAGAACTCACTTTATTCATAAAAGTTATTTTCAAATAGAAATGTACCAAGTAGGATGACCATTAGGGAATAGTAATACCCATCTCACATATCTCTTCTTTTTTCTATTTTCATGATACTGGGATTGAGTCATGGGCCTTCCCACTCGGCTACATCCCAGCCCTTTTTTATGTTATTTTGATACATGGTCTTGCTAAATCGCTATTACCGAGGCTAGGCTTGAACCTGTGACCCTCCCTACCACAGGAATCACAAGCATGTGCCATCACACCCAGCTATATCTCTCTTCTGACATGCTCCAAGGCCAAGGCCATGTGGTCTTCCCAGAGGCAAAGATTCCATTATTCAAAACTAATAAGGATTCACTCAATTAGAAATTTTATGTTCTCAAGAACGAAGGCACACAAAGTAGCAAGAATGATGGGACAAGTATATTCAAAGTAAAGGGAAGCAGGCCGGGGATTTAGCTCAGTGGTTTCGCCAGAAAGACCACAGTTCGATCCCCGGTACCAACAAAACAAAACAAAACAAAACAAAACAAAACAAAACAAAACAAAACAAAACAAAACAAAAGGGGAGCATTAAGAGGATTAATGGTAATGTGTATTTTACTGTAGTAAATGTTCAAAATTTAAGTATTCACTGCATATTTTGATATCACATCTAGATTATAAAGGTTAAGTAGCTTGCCCAGGATTATTCAATTAGCAGCAGGTGAAACCCAGCATCAGTTTTCTATCACTACTGATATTCTACAGGGATTCTTATGTTTGCATTTCCAAGACCTACCTTCCTTCCTTCCTTCCTTTCTTTTTTTTGTACCAGGGATCGAACTTGGGACCTTGCGCTTGCTAGGCAGGCAGCAGAACCACCAAGCTAAATCCCCAGCCCACTACAGGGATTCTTAGGTAGCCATCATCCAGTCATGAACCTGACACAAAGCTACTTTCTAGAATCACACCAAGGAAAGAGAACACCTTTCAAATTCTTTGATTTCTCCTCAGGATCTAGGCTTAGAGGTTATGGGTCAGGCTTCTCACCAACTAAATATTCAAGAAGCTGGGGGGTGCCAAGTATGGTGTCACACACCTATGATCCCAGCACTCAGAAGGCTGAGTCAGAAGGATCCGTTTCAGTTTGAGGCCTGCCTCAGGTACACAGTGAGTTCAAGACCAGCTTGAACTACACAGTGAGACCCTGTCTCAAAAAAAAAAAAAAAGGTGGGGAAAGGAGTGTCCAATCTCCCACAAAGAACAGAACTCCAGCCAGGGATTTAGCTCAGTTGGTGTCTCCACCTGCCTAGCAAGCACAAGGTCCCGAGCTGGATCCCTGGTTCCAAAAAAAAAAAAAAAAAAAGAAAGAAGAAAAACATCAGAACTTCATTTTGTACTTCTTGGGTGTTCTAGGTCCAGATCTGATTAAACACTTAATTTTTACTCTTTTCAAAGTTAACTAACATTCCTCTTGAGCAAGGTTGACCTTGCTCAAAGGGACCAATATTATTTTCTTAATAAGAGAACGAATGGCGGTGTTTTCATTTCCTGAGACGTTAAATATGCCTACATCTTAGACAAAAATGGAGCATATAAAATTATTTTTCCATGGGGCGTGGTGACACAAGCCTGTAATCCCAGCACTCAGGAGGCTGAGGCAGGAGGATCAACGGGAGTTGGAGGTCAGCCTGGACTACATAGTGAGTTCAAGGCCAGCCTATACTACTTGTCGAGACCCTGAATTTAAAAAAACAACAACAAAAAACCCCTCCCCAATGCGAAAGTTACATACATGTTCATAAGACCTGCTCTCACTAGGTCTGGTCAAAAACAGAAGAAAAGGGTCCAAAATGAAGATTTCTCAGTTTAAAATGGACACGAACAAGTTGGGTGTGGTGGTACACGCCTAAAATCTCAGTGCTCTGGGAGACTGAGGCAGGAGGATGGCAAGTTTGAGCCCAGCCTGTGTAACTGAGCGACTCTGTGAAACTTCAGTCTCAAAATTAAAAAGGGCACCCCAGTACCAAAAAAAAGGGGGGTGGGCTGAGCCGGATGTGGTGCAGCACACCGGTAATTCCAAAACTTGAGCAGCTGAAGCGGAAGGATCACCAAGTTCGAGGCCAGCCTGGGTTACATAGTGGGTTCAAGGCCAGCTTGAACTACATAGAATGACTCTGTCTCAAAAAAACTATAAACAGACACTCAAACAAACAGGGCTGGAGATGTAGCTCAGTGTGAAAGCCCTGGTTCAATCCCCGGTAAACGCACTGTTGATGAGAACAAGAGAAGTTTGGCAAGTCTCACGGAGGTCCACTCTATACACCATATTTAGCAACGAATGGTCAATCACTAAAATCTCTGAAGAAAACTATGTGCCACAAAAATATGACTCGACGACTTAAGTTTCTAAACTCTCCACTTTCCCGGTATGGAAAGATCAAATAAAATAAACTACACTTTTTATGTGTCCTGACACAGTAGCCACTAGCAACGTGCTGTTATTTAGCTAATTTAAAAATTAAGTGAAATTTACAAGTTTACTTTCTCACTCGCACCACACGTCAAATAGTCCATGGCCACGTGTGGCAAAGGCACAGAGGACTTAAAAGTGCTCCGGGACAGAGCGACTATCAGGCACTAAGCACAGTAAGTGTCCAGACGGAGCGGGCGCGGACGGCGCGTGGCGAGGCGGGCGCAGCTGGGCCGCCAGTGGCTCCGGAGCCGCGGCCCCGGACGTCCTCCCCGATGCCACAGCATTGGGAACCCCCAAAAAACTCGCGCGGGGAGCCTGGCGGCCGCGCCGCCTTCCCAGGTGGCGTCGGGCGGGCCCAGAAGTGCCGGCGCCCGCGGGTCAGCGGCGCTGGCCTCCGACCTCTCCCACAAGCTGGCGAAGCGGCAAGAGCGGAGACACCAGGCGTCCACCAGCCGGGGCCCGGGCCTATGCCGCCTGCCGCCCTTTGTAGGCAGTGGGGTACGCTCAGACCATATCCCGGAGGCGAGGGACGCCGAGGCCTCTCGGGCGGCGGCGAAGGCGGAGCCGGGCCAGTCCGGGAAGGCGCGCGGAGAGCACCCCCCCCCCGCCACCACCGCGCGCGCGCGCCAACGGCTAGTCAGGGTAAACAAGGCCTCGACCTTTGTCGCGTACTTACCGGGAATCGCGACCCCGCGGCCGCAGAGCCCCGGCAGGCCAGAGCAGGACAAGATGGGCCAGTGAGGTCTGACTCGGACGCTGCGACTGCGGAGGCTGCGGGTCGACCCCGCGCTGCTTCCTTCGGCGGAGCAGTCCCGCAGCTCCGGAAGTGCCCTGAGAAGTTGCGTCACTTCCGGCTGGTGTAGCCCCAGTGGTCGCCCTGATAGCGGCAGGTTCCTGGTAGGGCTCTTCCTCGGAGCTGCTCAGTGGCAAATCTGGTCTCCCACCAAGTCCTGCTGAGATATCGGGGCCCGCCTCTGCAGGAGGCAACAAAGCTCTCGGCTTGTGAAGAAATGATCTAAACATCTATTCCCGCTTTGACCTACCAGCGCCTCCGGCCGGGATATTAACAGCAGCCTTTCTCACTGGCTCCTCCGGCGTAGGACACCTAGAAGTCATCCATGCGTCCACGGGACGGTTTTAGGACCTTGGGCTCCTGGCAACTGTGGCCGAAGGGAAGCCGCACAGTGATTCTGCCTGTCCCCAGAGGGTGACGCTAGGTGGACCGCGCCGGCTTTGACTTTGCCCGCCACTGCTACAGTCACTGCCCAGTTCTTCATCCATTTACGCTCAAGATTGCATCTTAACTTTTTATTTCACTTTCTTTTCACAGCATGGGAACTATCATTAGAACTTCCAGTATCTTCTAAGATCGGTAGCCAAATATATAGATAGATAGGACGGAGGATGAAGGTACAGCGACACTGCTGTGGAAGCACCAGAGTGAAGTCGGTGATGTTAAGAGCCTCCTGGCTGTACAAGTCCATAGATAACCCAAAGTATTTCTGCCCACATTCAAGTCATGAATGGACTGATAATAACGGGTTATGAGTTCTTGCTAGAAATACATGATTTTCAAGTTTAACCCAGCTCATGGACCTAATTTAGGTATAATAAAATAGTAAAAGCCTCATGTTAATTTAAAAGCCCCATGGGTCAGGGATTTAGCTCAGTGGTTCTGCCGCCTGCCTCGCAAGCGCCAGGTCCTTAGTTCGATTTCCGGTACCAAAAAAATTTCTAAAACCCTATATTAATTTGAAGTGAAAGTTAATAGTAATGAATAGCATTTTAAGGTTGTAAATTTGTATATTAGCGACACAAATGTCTATGTACTACAATCCAGTATACTTGTTTCATCTGTTTTGACAAAACATCCGTGTAGCTTAGTGTTGTGCCCCATACCAGTAACCCTAGCACTGGGAAGGTTGAGGCAGAAGGATCTAAAGATCAAGCGCAGACTGGGCTACATAGCCAGACGTTCTCTCAAAAAAACAAAAAACAACAAAAAACCCTGTAAATTTCGATACTACTAGCAAAGGATCCAAAATATGTTTTCTGCAAATCAAAAATTTCACTTTGGGTTATTGGTAATAAATCCACTCCAGTGAGTTGAAGAAGAACAAGTCTTCTAATTCTTCTTTTTAAATTTTATTTTATATTATTGGTACATTTTAGGTATACAATATAATGACATTCATCATTGGAAATTTGCACCTTTACATAATCTCTCTTGATTCTTATTTTTCCCCATACCCCTGCCCTCCTTTCAACCCCTCCATCCCTCCTTATTTACAAAGACTTTGTTCCCATTTTTTCCATCTCATATTAATTCCATAAGTCTAATTCTTTTTTTTTTTTTTTGGTACCAGGGATCGAACTTGGGACCTTGCGCTTGCGAAGCGCTGGAACCACTGAGCTAAATCCCCAGCCCCCATAAGTCTAATTCTTTTTTTTTTCTTTTTTTGGTACCGGGGGTTGAACTTGGGTCCTTGCACTTGCGCAGCAGGCGGTGAAACCACTGAGCTAAATCCCCGGCCCCCCATAAGTCTAATTCTTGTACTTGCAAAATACAGAATGAGGATACTCATTAAATGCAGGCATGTACAGAGTATTGGAATCTATGAAGCGTTGTCACACTATATTGTCGGAGAAAAGACATTAAAATTGGTTCTAGGACCCCGCACCAAAATAGGACACACAAGAGCCATATGTGAAATGGCATAGCAATTTGCACACACATCCTCCTGAACACTTCAGACAATCTCTGGATTACTTATAACACTTAATGTAAATCCCATAGACATAATTGTACTGTATTGCTTAGGGAAGTGACAAGTCAGTGCATACACTTTTTGCTTTCTCTTTTCTTTCATTTTTATTGTGTTTTTTTTGGTTTTTTGTTTTGTTTTGTTTTGTTTTTTGAGACATGATCTTGTCATGTACTACAAGCCAGTGTTGAACTTGGACTGGCCTCAAATCTGTGATATTCCTGCCTCAGCCTCCAAAATGCTGAGATTACAGGTGTATATCACCATGCTTGGCTATAGACACAATTTGTAAAATATTTTTGAGCTGAGCGTGGTGGCACATTCCTGTGATGCCAGCACTGGGGAGTCTGAGGCAGGAGGATTGCCATTAGTTCCAGGCCAGCCTAAACTACATAGTGAGACCCTGTCTCAAAAAAGACCAAAAATAAATAAATGAAAGTATTTTTTGCCTGCATATAGTTGAGTTAGATATGGAAACCTTGAATATGGAAGGCCAACTAGTTAGCTTTTTTCATCTTCTGTCTTTCCCCTGTTAAAGGTGATTTTCTGAAACACAGATCCAACCTTGTTTTCAGTATTATTGTTAACATTTCAGCTGATTCCAACATTATTTTTAAGAAGCAGTAGTTTCTTCCTAGAAAATTAATATTTAAAAGTTATGCCAAAACACTGAGCCAAAAATTTAAAGATGTGCATGAAAATATGTGCTTTAGGGCTGCGGATTTAGCTCAGTGGTTCCGGCACCTGCTTCGAAAGCACAAGGACCCGAGTTTTATCCCAGGGACCAAAAAAAAAAAAAGTGCTTTAGAACACTGATTCTAATAGGGAAAGTTTACAGCAAACTAAATGTCCAAAAACAGAGCTCTATTAAATTTTGATAAAATACACAGTGAAAAAAGCTATTAAAAATTATGGTGAGGGCTGGGGATTTAGCTCTCGTTTCACCGCCTGCTGTGCAAGTGCAAGGACCTGAGTTTGATCCCCGGTACCAAAAAACAAACAAACCAGGTTCGGTCATGCATACCTGTAATCACAAGTCTCTGGGAGGCTGATGCAGGAGGATCACAATTTCAAGCCCAGCCTGGGCAACTTAGGGAGACTTTGTGTCAAAAATAAAAAATTTTTGGCTGAGGATTTAGCTCAGTGGTTCTGCCACCTGCCTCACAAGCACAAGGACCCGAGTTCGATCCCTGGTACCAAAAATAATAATAATAATAATAACAATAATAATAAAAAATAATAAAAAAATTTTTCTTTTAAAAAGCTGTGGATGTAGTTCAGCACAAAGGTCTTGGGTTCAATCCCTCAGTCTCCAGTACTGAAATGGAGAAAGAGAGAGACAGAGAGATAGACAGATGAAAGCTATATTGCCCTTATGACCTATCATTTAAAGTCACACAACATTACTTTTACCACACATTATTGGTTAAAGCAGTTACAAAGATCCTTTCACATTCAAGGGTAGAGAATGAAGCCCTACCCCAATGGAATGAGCTATATATTGGAATCAGGTATATGTTGGTGTGCTACACTTAATCTTAGCCAAAAGGCCAAGAAGCAATTGTGTTGGTGTGCTCATCTTTGGAAAATCTAATCTGTCAAGTAACGTATTTTACAGATATCTATATATTAGTCATCTTTGCCTTTATTGATCTTTTTTGGCAGTACTGGGAATCAAACCTAGGGGTTCTCTACCACTGAGCTGAACCCCAAGCTCTTTTTTGTTTTGATTTGTTTTTTTGAAACAGGGTCTCTCTTGTAGTTCAGGCTGGCCCTGAACTTACTATGTAGCCCGGGCTGGCCTCAAACTTGTGGCAGTTCTTCTGCTTCAGCCTCCTGAGTGCTGGGACCCAAACTCTTTTTGTTTGTTTTTTGTTTATTGAGACAGGCTCTCACTATGGTGTTCAGACCAGCCTTGAACTCACTATGTAACCTAGCTTGACCTTGAACTCACAAAGATCCTCCTGCCTCAGCCTCCCAAGTGCTGGGATTACAGGAATATGCCCCTATGCGCACCCCACCCCTGCATCTTTCCTAATTTTGTATTTTTAAAAAATTTTTGAGGTCTTGCTAAATTGCCCAGGTTAGCTTCAAACTTGTAGTCTTCTTGCCTCAGCCTCTCAAGTACCTGAATTACAGGTATGTGCCACTGAATCTGGGCACCTTTATTGATTTTAATTTTACATCTAATATACACTGATACATAAAGTTGTAAGATATTAAAATATTACAAAATTACTTACAGATGGATGTATTTCTATTAACTCACTCCAACTTTCTATTCTCCTATCATAGGATTCTCTCTATGCATCTACATATATATGTGTGTACATACACAGCTATGCACACACACATTTACATCAACTGGCTTTTATTTGTTTCATTACAGGTTATTGCAAATAGTGTTTCTTTTTTATGTTAGTAAAAAGGATTATAATTATCCCTATAACAAGAAGAAATGATGAAGATATGATTTCTCACCCTGGCTCCAGAGCCTATGCTCTTTCCAAGTATTTCCCTTTTTCATTATTTCATAGTACGAATGTATTGTCATCTACTTGAGTGTGCTGCTACTGCAAATCACCTATGTCCAATTTTCCACAATTACAGTGCTTTAGCCTGGGATGGTGCTGCAGACCTGTAATCCCAGCACCACTCTGGGAGGCGCAGGCAGGAGAATCACAAATTCAAGCCTTGTAGAAAAGGTCCTCAGCATTTGTTTTATTAGCAGGCCATATTTGTGATATATCTCTCATTGCATTTTGTGTATGCAAGGAAGTTTTCAGCTTCAAAAAACAAGAGTAGTGTTGACACTCCCCGGCATGTTCCACTGCGCTCATCTGCTTAAATTTGCATTTCCTAAGGACTAATTCTGTTGAATCTTTTGGTGTTCATTTGCCTTAGATAGTCTCTTCGGTTAAATGTTCAAGTGTTTGGCCCATTTTTAATTGAGTTGTTTTATTAATGTACTGATGTGTGTATGTTTTGGGTAAGAGTCTTTTGTCATAGATTTTGCACAGTTTCTGACCTCTCATCAGTTTGTCTCTACATTCTCTTGTCCCACAGACTTTAACAAAATCCACTTGGT